CGGAAAATGCAAAGCATCAAACTTCGGGTGTACACTTGTGATCCTCTTCAGGCCCTCTGACCGATGATCGATAATGATGTCTCGTTCTTCCTTATCAGGCAAGAAATCACCAGGAATGAGTCCAGCCAATTCTGAACCAGTTGGAAGTTCATACTGTCGAGATGTTGTGTCCCTTGCACCAACAATACGCAGTCTTAAATTGATTGATGCTGGATCATTCAATTCAGATCGAATTCGTCTAAAAGACTTAACTAATTCATTTGTCACGTCAAACAGCTTCATTAAACCAGAAACAATATCAGGACGCAGGGACCTTTCAGCAGAAGAGAAATTGGAGAGTCGATCTGCTAATTCGGTCTGCGGGTCAAAGACGTATAGCTGAGAATATTTAGGTCTCTGACCTGCAGCAGGAAGCAGAGATCCCATTCGATGATAATTTTCTCCGCATATCACAAACGAATAAGGTCCTCGTGATCGTGTAACTCTCGGATCAAGGCGTGCTCCAAAAGATGTGAAAGAAAACGCAGCATTATAGGAGCGTATATGTTCCCTGAAGTGCGCTGCCATAGGACCGCCATTAACACCCAAGAGGTCTTCAAGGTACTGAGGAGTTTCCTGTAGGAATGGGAGGCGTACTCGACCCTTTTGACAACAAAGCGTGAAAACAGGAGCAAGAGATGCATGCCTGTTCAGCCGCTCTTCATACCAGAACCGTGCACCACAGTATTGGCATTCACAGTCAGGAAAACCATGATCGATAACTCGACTGAATTCTGCTTGTTGTGAAGGTGGTAGAGGCACATCAGGCAACGAACAATGACCATCCAACGCAACAGGAGGATGAGTTTGCGAGCTGGCTGTTAAGTCTTCAGGAGTTCTTAAGTCAAGTTCGGATGAGTCAAGTTCACCTTCTGAGTCAAGCAGTGGGTGCAAGCGTCCCCGTCTATCAAAGTTGCACACACGACGCCTCACAGAACTTCTCGAAGGAGGCGTGGTAGGTACAAATTCAGTGGAAACACCAATATGACGACGCTTCCTATTCGCTGAACGACCGGGTAGCAGGAGTGCAGCCTGTCTGGGAGTGGCCTGAGATCACACACTGACGTTAGGAAAAAAACAGGACCTGGAAACTATGGCACAAGCGTAGCATGGTATAGGAACACAATGGTAAATGTAGTAAGATAAAAGTAATAAATTGACCAAACTAACCATGCCACGGCTTCTAAACGGGTACAGTGGAATAAAGACACTGGCAGATTTGCAGAGGAAGGCAGATACCAGGTAATAGTATAGCAGATGTAGCAGAGAATTTCATTCAATGACCAACAGCAAAGACAGAATAAGCAAAAAGAAGCAGTAATGGGAAAGCAGTTATGGAAGAAGACAGTCTACAGGTAAACGGTGTTTCCAGGGGGAAATATCCTTCTTAAGAAAAAGTATAATAATACAACATGCACCATAGCAGGCTAGTCTAGAGAAGTGAGAAGTAATAAAGCCATCATTAGTGAACAGGCTAGTCAGAACAATAAATGCATGATGGCAATTAATAGAAGAGAAATAAGTTTATAATTTGGGTCTATGGAAGCTAGTAAACAAAGTCATGGTATTAGTGGACAATCTAAATATCTAGTTACTGTGTGGCTGGTAGACACCACCTAAATACCCTGCAATCGAAAAGGGTGTGCACAATTTGGTCCTCAAAGTGGCCATTTACAACAGACAGTGGCCACCTGCGAATAAAGAGCAAAACAAGTGACTAACGAAGTAGATACAGGTGCGATGCGAATGCGGGCTAAACGGCAAAATTCCACCCAACAAATGATGATACAAAGTACAACAGTTCCTTAGCACAAAATAAAGTTCAGTTGCAGAGTGGCGCAATACTATGCCACTTAAAGAAGGGCATGCCAAAATGTTGCTTTATATTAACGACATAGAGCTGGTTAGAAAGCAGGTACGCAAGGGGTAATCTGGACCAAGAGGTAACTAATACAAGTCAAATGTCATAGCAGACCAGATTGGTAAAAGTGGTGCCAGTAATGGAAAACCACAAGTTTGGCAAGGGCTGCAAATGTAGACACAAAAGGCAAAAGTACATAGTGCACTACTCGCTAAAGAGTGTTTCCCTTTAAAAGTTATACAAAAGAAAGGGAGGGACAGCACTGCACAAACATGTTACATTAGCACTCGCATGATGCGAATCACGGTCAATCAGCAAACAGTTGCTTCTTAGCAGGTTCCTTAGCAGACGATTTGGGAGTTTTTGGCTTCCTCTTAGAGGCATCCACAGATGCTTCAATGGCCTTTGCAGACGGTGTCCTAATTCGCTTTGCCCTCCCAGGATTAGTTTTCCCCACTGGAAGTAGCGGAACTTCTTGGCCAGCAAGAAGAGGAGAAGGCAAAGCAGAGTCAACGGTAGGAACAGGACAAGTCGAAGAGTTTTCAATAGCCTGTTCTTGCAGTGGAAGTTCAACGTCCAAGTCTTGCAGTTCCAAAGGGACAACAGGTTCGTCTTCATCAGAAGAAACAACCAAGCGACGGCGACGTACAGGTGCAGGATTTATAGACACAGGTTGCCTAGAAAAGGAGACAAAGGAAGTAGGTCTGTAAAACACACATCTATATGAAAGAACATGCACATTCCTATGCAATGCGGGAGCAACTTGCAAAGCACGAATAAGATAATGACTAACAACAAAGAACAAACTGCACAAGGAATCTCCCTAAAGTAAAGACGATTATTACTTCAACTGTGGGAAAATAATTGATTTGAAGCTGACCAAGTAAGCAGAAGCCACAACTATTTGTTTATTTTGTTCTGTATAAACAAAAAAGGTAGAACATTCGTAGATAATTAGTATGGCCACTGAAAGGTAACATTGTATGTCTGCACATTGAGAACACGTGTAAGTTAGCGAAGGGCGAAGAAAGGGATACAAAAGGCCATCCATCGGCTATTGTATTTTATGGTAACGACTTAAAACCATGTATAAAAGCAGAAGACCAACTTTAATTGTAAAGCATTGTTTGCAATTTTTTTGCGTCAAAAATAAGTATTCTGTGCAGACTGGAAACCTTTTTTGATCAGGTTTAGAAGAGCACCAAAAGCATGCAAACTGGAATCCTAGGGAGCAGACAACACTGGCAAGCAAAGAATTAGAACGACACATACTGTGACAAAGGCTGAATTGTTGTTGTCTGCAAGTTGACACCGAGGGCATTAAGATTTCCAGAGTCAGGATTCGCCGATTCGGTTGGCAAAGGATGTCCAACAGGGATCTGAAGGGACGATATCGGAACATCGGTTTCTTCAAGAGTAACTGCAGGACGACGCGCAGCACCTGCACCTCCAGTTTTCCTGCAAAAGTCCAACAAAGTTGTATAAGGTAAGGACAGTAAATCGAAGTACAATGCAGGATACTATGATAAGTAAAAGAATTCCAAGAGGCAATAGTGGCGTATGCACAGTTAACAACCAAATAAGTGGTAAAACGAAATAACAATGGGGAATGGGTAGGAAGCAGGCCACATGTAAAACGAAGGGTGCACAAAAACCAAGTAAATTGCCAGTATGCAAACAGAAGCAAGGTAAACAGGAAATTAAGACCTAATGTAGGATATGTAAATTTGGTACAAGAAACATAGCAAGTAATAAAGGGCAGAGAGACTTCTTCTTAGCAGATGGTTTCTTCGGCTTCGCTTTCTGCGAACTAATGTTCTTGTTCTGCACAGTAGCTTCTGTAGTGTCCGAAGCAAGTTCCCTGATACAGAGATGCTCAGCAAGGAAAGAAAGAGACACGTAAAGCTAGTAAGTAAGTTAACAGGAGGAAAGGTACTGTGGGGATCGCTGTGTTGCAGTTTCTGGGGGCACTTCCTCACTTCTAGGGCTAAGAAGCAGTTAAAACGGGTGTGCAAGAGTCATTGACAAATATTAGCAGGCGTAAAGGCGAACGATTGAGGTAACACAGGAAAAGGCAAGAAACTGACCGCGCATAGGAAACAATCTCAGTACGACCAAGTTCAGGAGAAGAAGCTACAGAACTGTTGTTGAAAAGAAACATGTCAGGAAACGACATCAGAACGTGTATAAGCAGCACTAAGCTAGCAAAGCAGACAACAAACAGACAACCTTCCCAATGCAGCAGATGAGGGCGAGGATACAGCAGCGATGCGCCTACTGGAAATTGATGGTAAACAACGCATGGAAAAGAAATGTCAACACATAGGGAAAGAGTACGACAGCGTCCAAAGAAGCGCTTGTTAATTTTGTAAAGCAAAGTGGATTGTAAAAACAACCTGCTATAGGGGCGACGTGGAGGAGTAGAAAATGCAAGCTGAGAACTCCCACTGCAAATTTAAGAAGGAACCCGAGTTAAAGACAAGCAACAACCAGAGAAAAGAGGACATGTAAAATTGAAGCATAACCTTGGTGAAGCAACAGAAGAACCATGCTCTACCGAAGCGTTCTGCATTGTTGGAACAACATATGGAGAAGTAAGAGGCATCAAGTGAGGACTGCAACGGAAAGCAGCAATTAGTAATGAACAAAAGGAAACTGCACCACAAACTGAAGAACATTAAAACAACCTGTTAGGAGGTGGTGTATGGGGCATAGCATTTCTTGCCCGGCGACCAAGAGTTGGTGAGCAGGAATTTGGCTGTTCTTGCTCATTGACAGCAAGGACCGTGAATTCTGGCGGGCCACGAGCCCCATATTCCGGTTTTGGAAGCTGGACGTCAAAAGTAAAGTCTCGCCCTTCAAGAGCCAGAAGTTCTTGTGGAAGAACATTGCGTTGGTAAGGAAACCTAGTAGAGAGATCGTTAGCAGTCAAGCCCACAAGAAGGTCAGCGGCCCTACCCAGCAGAACAAAAGCTGCTGATCCAGTGTTGTCATCAACTGTTACCCGAAGTTTGTAACTGCAAAAAACGTGTACAGGAGCATCTGAGGACACGAGAAAAGGTAAAAGGTATGGGGGCAAGAATGAAGAAAGGAATTACAAGTTCTGTGTTTGTTGAGGCACCAAACGACGGTGGTCATCACACCATTTGTCAACACCATCATAATCTATGGCTGCTTTGGAACAAAGCGCACAACCCAAGTAGTACCACTGCATAGAAGAATCAACCGAAACAATCCGACCAGAGCAATGGTAACGCGTAGACTAAAAAAAAGTAAACGAAAGAAATGATTAGACGGACAAACAAATGAAGTGAAAGGAACAGAAGCAGGTAAGCTGGAGAGCAAAATGGGAAAAAGCATACATCGGCAACAGGTGGAAAACACAAGGCAAGTAGTTGTGACACAGTCTTCGTACATTCAGCTTCGAAGGCCGCTGCCTCATTAGGAGTTGCAAACCTCGGAGGGTAATATTGACATGTATTAGTGCTGGCAAAGAACCTAACGAAAGCGAAAGCAAGGAACGCAACAAATTAGCAGTAACCAAAAATACAGCTGATGATGCAAAGGGAAAAACAAATATGAGGAGGATAAGAAAAGACATACACAGATTGGACCAGGTGAGCCATTTCAGAAACAGGGTTGAGAACACAACGTGTGCCTGGAGTACTGGTAAGAGAGTAACCTCCTACAAGAGGGGTAAAGGTAATAAGGAAAAGAGGAAGGGAAATGAAAGGGAGAATAGTGCGGCGGTAAGGTACATGCAGACCTTTCGTAGCGCCAGTGACTCGAAGTGAGCAAACAGCAAGCATAACTGGCCCAGAACGACCAAGGACAGCCAGTTCCTGACCATTGAGATTCCGAGCTATATCACTCCACAGACTGATATCAAGAAACATGTGACTGGGCAAAAAAGCAACGAAAGTAAGTAACAAATGTATTACAGTCGATAAAGCAGTGGTGTGCATCTGTAACATACTTTTCATTCTGAAGCACCAAATCACTCCGCACAGTGGTACCGAATGAAGTTACAGTGCTAGAAACGCCTGTTATGCTAACAACAGCGCCAACGACATCTGACAGAGGCACAAGCAAGAGAAGAAAGGAAAGGATGGTAAGCAGTACACTGCAGAACGGACAGCAAGAGACGTAAAGAATACAGTACAAGACCTGTTAGATAAACCGATGAACGTATGCGGGAATGAAGCGAGCTGAACGGGGTAAATTCGAACGCATCCGGCCAGAATGAAGGTGACGAACGGGTCACGTCTTCGAACTGTGTAGCGGCAGAGAGGATGATGGTCAACTTATGAGAGCAAGAACGATACGAAGGGGCCGGTGGCTTGACGCGAAAATTACTCACGAAGTAAACGCTACCCAACTGCAGAAGCGGAGAGAAATGGCGCGTGAGTTCCGAAGGAGCCGTGCCCTGAATCAAAGTACCCTGGCAAGAAAAGAAACGAACATCAGAGGGCTGTAAAAAGAAGGGAGCAGCAAGATTACATGGCAAAATAAAAAGGAAAGCAGCGCTGACCTCCTCATCATTCCAAAGAGTGCAGTAGTTGAAGATTAATGTAGGATTCTTCAGGCCATAAGACCCCCACGCATTAGGAGGCGCAGCTTCAGAAGAGTCTGAGGGCCATCGGAGTCGCTGAGGTCAAGAAGCAATTTATGGGTCACCATGGAAGAGCAATAGAAGAAAGCAAGCGAGCAAGCAAGCTAGAAGAGGGAAAGTCTGTGAGAAGCACAAATGAAAGGTAGCAAAGCAAAACAAGACTTTTGTGGGGAAAGGAACAGATGAGGAAGCGCCAGACCTGTCATTTCCAGGGGAAAGGTGAGGAGTTCCGAAAACCGATAAGTTGCAGAGAGAAGAGAAGTCGCTGGCGAAGCAACCCAGGCTAAAAGCAGAGAGGAAAGAGAGAGGTAAGCAATGATTACAGACGAGAACGCAGTAAAAATGTGGCAAAGAAAAACAGTGTTAAGACGTGACTCTACCAAACAGTAAAGTTGTAACTTGTTCTTTTAAAGAGATAACTTAGTGTTGTGCTGCAGGTGATAGAGCTTCAACAATGTGTGGCAGAAAGTCTCCGGATCGATAATGCAAAGCTGTACTTATTCTTGGAAGTTGAAAGAGATGGGGTAAGCTTTTTCCCCCCTCCGTGCTGAACAATCTCAATCGCATCTCATTCAAGATTCAAATCTTTCGAATGTTTGGTTCATCAGAATCTACAACCCGTTCCCCCACCCGAGAAGCTGCAAGGAGATATACTCCACTTTGTGAAGGTTTATGAGCCAGAAAATGAAGAGCTACGGTACTTACAGACTACAGTGTTCTAGTTATAGTAGTAGTAGTTTTTTCTTTTTTTTTTGGTCGAAGTAGTAGTAGTTGTAGTCACCGATGATAAAGCCATGAAATTGTGGTGATGTTTCTTCCTTCTTGGCCTTTTTAGTTATGTTGGAAGACTATTTGTGAAAGGAAGTAGTAAGCCAGCCGACATTTTGACGAAATTGAATGAGATGGCTGGTGATGTTCTTCCCATGTACATTGTGCTTCAACTTCTGCATACTTCACCTGCAGCACATAGCTTTTCGTGGTGATGGCTGGAATGAATTGCAAAATTTGGTATATCTGCAGGAACTTCATTCTGAATCCGAATTGATGATCGAACCCGTGGACAAGCAAGTACCTTTTGGACATGTTGGGGGTAACACGTGCATCATTCTCATAGACCATCCATCATCCAATCCATGGCTTGAGATCAGTACTATATATAAACCCCGTGAATAGCATGCTCACATCACCTACATGGTCGATTTCAATGTTGTTATTGCAGCAGCAGGATGGAGACATCTTCTGCTTTCAGAGATCCGTGTCTCCTCAAAGTGTTGTGGAATGCCGATATCCCACCATTCCTCTGTTCTACGCATACTTGCACTGTTGGCAACTGGCATTTCAACGTGCCACCAAGCATGAAGTGTGTTTCCAATCATCTCGGTCTTAAAACTTCTCTATCGATTTTGCAAAGCCATTCAGCTTACGTAAGGTCACCCACAAAATGAATTTGTTTACTAATTGCTTTCGAAAGCAATTAGAAAACAATCATACTCAGAAGTTGGAAAAAGGTAAAGTCTTTCTGGAATCATCATCCCCTAACTTTCTGGATAGCTCCTGATTTCATCTTGCGGTACTCTCAAATTCTTTGGCAGCAATTGAAGGAGCTCACAGGGTAAAGGCTAATGATTGTGTCTTTGAAGGAACACCAGCTTTTGAGGCAATGGAGAGACTTAGGGATGTGAGGGTGGGAAGAAAGCTAATGCAGTCAGTCTGCTTTCTCAATGTGATCATGGCTTGATTTTTTTGAAGTTGCAACTTTCCTCTCTCCTTTTGGCCATCTTGTTTTTGGCCTTTTTGTAGCCTTGTACATTCCTTATGTTCTGTTTTTCCTTATGGCAGCGCGATTTATGAGTGGCATTGCTTCGTTACCTCATACTGTTCCAATATTTTCTGTCAAGGGTACAACTTACAGGAGAGGTTCACTGTATTTTCTGTCAAGGGTTCTGTTCCAATATTTATTACAAATTCTAGATATAACCCAAAAGAGCGTACCCCAATCTTTACTCGTCGAGCTCGCCGGGCGGGACATTGAAATCTTGAATGCCCTGTTTCTGGTCGATCGGGTCTCTGCCGAATCCGAACGGTTCTTTCTTGGGCTTCTCAGAAACCTTTCATTTCAGTGCTTTTGAGTCTCGAGCATTCTCCAGCCAGTCTTCCTTTCTCCGCTATATATCGCACTGGTGTGTTCTCTGCTTGTCACAATGTCCTGCAAATAGCTCTGTTCTGATAGAGAAGCAAAACAGAGTGTATTTCGTAAAAGCTAAAGATAGGAAACATGGCGTCTACACAGACCACAAACAGAAAGAGTAAGTCTTCTTCTTCTTCTTCCTCTTCTTTCCCTTTGTCATTACTTCCTTGTGCTCTGACCCTCACCGAGTTTCCATTCTTTTCTACTTGTGGGCAGAGGCCAACAGGAAGGCGCGGATGGAGGCCAGGGACTTAACCGAGCAGCTGAAGATGGCGCAGGAGCGATCCTCCGGCCTCGAGGCGCAGGTTCGAGATGCGGTGGGGCGACTCGTGAGCTGTGCTACGGAGCGGGACCAGTTGAAGGCAGCTCTGGAGGAAGAGAGGATCGGGCGGAAGGAGGATCAAGCTGCTCTGGAGCGGGAGAGAGCAGAAATGGAGCGTTTGAAATTGGTTGCTGAGAGGACAGAGCTTCGTCAGCGGTTGATGAGGGAAAGCCATGGCCGTCTGGGCAAGGCATTGGATGAGTTCTATGGCCTTGCTAAGGAATTAAGCAGAGATTTTGAAGATGAAGAGGAAGGGAACCTGTGAGGGAGATGGGGGAAGGAGAAAGATGAAGAAGAAGCAAACCAAAGGGAAAAAAGAAATAACTAGAATTTCTATTTTTTATTTTTCTGTCAGGGACCTGTTTTACAGTTTTAGTGAAAACTAGAAGCAATACCTGCGGCGGCTACGCAACGCCGCAGGAACTAAGTTGCAGTCGAATGATTATATGGTGGTCATTAAAGTGATGGTAAATTAAGATGACGGTAAGTTGCTCCAATCCTGAACATGACATGGGTCTCTTCCCTAGGAATTCTGTCATTCCTAAAATATAACAAATCAATCAGCCAACCCACTTCATAATTACCATAAAGGAAAGCCTCAAAGCCATCCCACTACAATTCATGGACTAAAGGAACACCAAAGGAAACATTGTCAAGGTACAAAGCAGTTGTTGGAGATGGGAGGCAAGAGAATCGAGAACCATAAAAAGAACCAAGTACGAAAACACAAAACACATCAGCTCCCCGAGCCCATCTGAAAATAATCCTCGTCCATTAATTAGTCAGAAGAGAAGCAAAATCCAAATGAACCAATCTGCTGAGAATCTCGCCTGTCAATTAATATGTTATAGATGAAACCGTTTCTGGGAATGTTTCGAGCACTCGTTTCTTTAGTGATAGCTAAAGCACTTTGCCCTTCCAGCATCTCTTGAGCAATGCTTCGTATGTGAACACATCAAGTTCAAATGGAAAACAACAGCAGTTAAGGGTTAGACTATCGCATCATAAAATGAAGACTTTGTACCTGAACTGTTGGAGATGGTAAGATTCTTCAAGCATTTGGTCTCACGAACCATTATCCAGTGCATCTCCAGAACCTGCATTTTTTTATCCATAATAAATCAAGTCATAGAATGGATGATCACCAAAACCAGTTACACAAAGACACGTCGATTGTGTTAAGATGACTGAGTTACAAAATGAAATTAAGTATTCAGCCTATCCAACAGTACATGGCAGTATGAATTATGATTACGGATTCAAATACTACCATCTATAAAGAAACAACCTGTGAAGTCCCATATCCCCTTGCTACCATCTTTAAAAGTTAAATCAGTAAGGAAGCTATCATTGGGCAGTGAATTTATTCTGTAAACACAATCACAATATTATCATCCAAACAAAATATCAAACGAAGGGAAAAGCTAATAGTACTGGTGTAGTCCGTTAGCATTCGTTCATCTTTAAAAGTTATTGATGACAACTCTGCTTCCAGTTCAGCTGACAAATACAATTTTCATTCCAAATTACACGTACAATTTAGCATGAAATTGAAGAGCAAAGGGAGCAATAAAGTTCTGAAACTTGTCCCCTTCCTTTTACATGGTCTCTTTGCTAATTATAACTGTGTTGTGATCCATATCGGTCCCTGTTTTAAACGTTGATATTTGAAGATGAAGAAAAACAATCAAATGGAAAGTGAGTCAAGTTCTAGATTCTCAGTACCATTTACCTTGCAAGATTGAGCAGAGTCATCCAACACGTTTTATGCTCCATTAAATTCATGGTTTAAACCATGAAAAAAACTCGTAGGAAGAGATCCTTCACTTTACTATGCAGGTGCAAAGATACATCACCCCAACTTGAGAAGAGGAGGTTGAGGCTTGTTCTTCCTCTTAAAGTTTGGTACTGCATTATCATCCATGTCAGCATGGCTGCATGTCTGGAGGAGGCCTAGCAAGAAGTAACAAACATTAGCATGGGGTAGGAGGATTGTAGCTAATGTGTTTATGATGATCTAATTCACTTTGACAAAGGGAATATTTTAAAAGTGACAAACAACAGTAAAATCAAGTAATCAGATTTAAAAGTTATAGGAGGGATCATATCATCTTCTGTATAGTTCAAATGACAGTAAAATCACCTGATTTAAGAACTCATAATGAGATCTACATACAGGTCTAGCCATCCTCCAATATGGTGATATCCATATGTTGCAAGACACAGATCCTCCATGGCAAACGATGGCCTCAACCGGACACTACCACTTCAAATCTCAAGTGAATGCTTTTGTTCTCTGTCCCAAAAGCAATGAAAACCATTAAACCTCGGATAAGAGCAGACAACAAAAAAAAGTATCCAAAATTTTCTCCTCGAAGCAAGTCTATGCAAAGAATAGGAAGCACCTTACCAAAAAATTCCAGCTTGCACTGCTGCAAAATGGGCCAAGTCAAAAGAAATGTTACTGCTTTCTCCACAGCCAAGGAGCACCAATGTTTCCAAATTAGGGCACACCTAGAGTGCAGAGAAAAATGGAGAATCCTCGAACCTCACCCCAACGATTTCACGGTTTTGAAGCTAACCTAGACACTTGGTTCGTTCCCCTTCCTCTTTATGCGACTGGTGTAGCCGTGAGTACCAAGGCTCAATTCCAGCTCATTTGTATCCATTCTCATCTTAGAGGAAATCAATGGAAAGGGGAAAATATAAATAAATGAACAAAACCTTAGGTAGATGAACAACCCAAAAAACTTAATCACCATTCGAGGTCATGTGTATCCATCTCGGTAATGAGCTCTTGCTGCACACCATGACCTCTTGCTGATGACCAGGAGGTCTAATAATATCAGCAGCACATTCCAGCTCCCCTGTCAACTTTTTCTGCAGAACACAAAAGGAAACAATACTCAGAAGTTCCTCCAAACTCATAGCGCAAACATGTTGTCAGATACAAAACTACATATGAACTTGCATGTGTGAATGTTCCACTAACAACACTTCAAGAAGATCAATCGAACCAACACAGCTGCCTAACACTTGCAGTAGACAAACCAACAGAGGTCAAAATGTAGGTGATGCTTGTACACACACCATCTGCAAATCACTAAGTGATCCCTATATCATGTAAATCAATTAGGTGGTCTAAAGGCATGTCAATATATATTTCAAGTTAGTTTCTCCTGAGGTACTGGAACCCATTAAACTAGCTACAGAGAGCACTTTAATCAAGGGGCAAAAGCTTATCATGATTCATTATTAGGAAACAAACCCCAACATATGTTTTGATATGCATAACATTCATATGAGCATTTCCTCCCATAAATGAGGATAAGAGTGTACTATGATCTGTGAGAGATAGAAGGGTTGAATGAATCTAAACAAAAGACACCAACCATTCATTGACAAAGTTAAGGAACAATTATAATTCAAAAGATAGAAGGTAAAAGCAAAATAAAGAAAATGGCAGAGTATTAAGAAGGCCCAGCAGCATAGCACATCGGACAATCAATCTGCAGATTCAAATCTGTTTTCTTTTCTATACGAAATCAAAAATTGGATAGAGAAGAGTTTCCTTCTGCTTACATTCTCGTCGTGGGTGGTGATATTTTTCCTTCCTTCTCATCTCCTTATTCTTTCGCTCCTCCCCGGCAGCTGTTGAGCTTCTCTCGTCTTCCATCCTGAAAATCGGCGGTCCCACCAACTCTTACCCCATCCTCCTGCTGGTCCATAAGCATCACCACCGTCAGTTTCCGTTGTTCCTCCCCATGGATAGGATAGAGTACGAACTTGACGACACCATGTCATCAGAATCTTCATTGCTACAGCCTTGCTCTGCAGCAAGAGTCCAAAACCGAATAGGTGAAATTTAAAATTGTCCACAAAGAAGACAGATAAATAAGACCTCACCATCATAGGCGATTCTGTCCACCGTCGTCGGTCCTCCTGTTCCAAATCGATTTCTTCATCCTCCGCTATCAGGTTCTGGTTCTGTGTCGACCACCAGCGAGGAAACTTTTAGGGTTTCGTTGAGGGATTACGGTGGGGGAAAGGAGGGAGCCATTTGTCTCCCACCAAGTACAATCGTAGCCAACTGGTGGGGAGAGGACAACACTGTAGAAGCAGAAGGAAGACATGGATTTGCTGTACGGGAAAGCAAAGTGGAGTGACGAACTGACGGGTTGGGAAGGAGGCGTGTCCAAAGAGCTCTGCAAAAGTGGCATGGGTGGTGCGTGCAAGACCATATGCACAGAGAAGGTGATTGGAAGAAGGACAGTGAAGTTGACAGAGCAAGAATGGAAAAAGCATGGTTGAGGACAGTGCAGCAGCCAAGAACTTCTAGTGGGGCGGGAGGGACAGTCACGAAGGCAGGTTTCCAAGGAGCTCTCCAGTGGAGAGTTTGAGGCTCAACTCACTAAACGTTAAAAATTGAAACAGTAGCAAGAAATATTGACAAAAAGCGTACCCACTAATTATATATAAGAAGAATGATTATGGGCTTTTTGTCTGAGCGTGTTTATTGCGGTTGAACCAAACTCCGACCTTGTTATTTTGGTTGGGCCGGGCTGATTAATGCACTTTTTATGAGCTTTGCTACTTCATTTCTTTCTTCAGCCCCCCCCCCCCCCCTTAATCTGAAATTCTGAATCAAAGGGTTTAGGTTTTGGTTTCGAATGAAGGTGGATGGGTATTGGGGTGAATTGCAAGTTTGATCCAATTATCCAAATAGTTGATCCAGTGCTTATCCCTAATCATCATTCCCTTAACTTTTGGGATATATGGCTCTTCATAAGGTACTGTCAACTTCGTTGGCAACAAATAAAGGATGGTTAAAATGTGGATTTGAAAAATGAAGGTTTTGTAAAACCATGAATATATGAGGGTTTTGGGTTCATCATTGATTTGAAAAATATCATTGTTTGTTTCATAGATTTCATAATGGAATTGGTTAATTAGATTTATATGTATAAAGTGAAATTTATGTGATTAGGCAAGGAGAAGGGCGTTGGGCAGAAGAGAAGCTTAGTTAATGGTTTGATCCGTCTACCTGTCGGGCCATTATGGCTATTCCCCTGCCGCGGAGGAATGTTGAGGATAAGCTGATCTGGCATAGTACTCCTGACGGTGTGTTCTCGGTTAAGACGGCCTATCATTTGGCGGTTGAGCTTGATCGGAGGAAAGGTGAGTGGCGGGCCTCGGTCAGTTGGATGGATAGGCCAAGCTGGATCCGGCTGTGGGAAGCAAAGATTCCTCCTAAGCTGAAGGTCTTTGTCTGGCAAATTCTTCATCGGGCTTTGCCAACCACTGAGGCTCTTATCGAAAAGAAGGTTCCTGTGTTGCCCCGTTGTCCGGTTTGCTGGGATGGGCCCGAAACGATGGAGCACATGTTTCTGTACTGTCCGGTCGCGAGGGCTCTCTGGGACTACTCAGGGTTGGACTATTTGGGGGAAGGTTTGCCTCGGCACACGTTTCCGTTGTTTCTCAAGCGGCTGCTCGCCCTTGTCCATCACCCGACGATGTTTATGGCTGTGGTTGCCATCCTTTGGCGGATCTGGCGGTCGCGAAACTGCGTTGTCTTTGAAGGCAAGCAGTTTGGGATTCCGGCTTTAATGCGCCAATTTCACCAGCAGTATGAGGAATGGGTGGGGTTGCCTGTCGACAGACCGCCGAGGTTGGCCTGCCCGGCCGTTCAACAAGAGACCCAGGTGGAGGACTCTCGGTTGGTGTACATGTGGGATGGGGCCACTAGGCGGGGGTCCCATTCGGCTGGGGGGATGGTTCTTTTTGATCAAGGGTGGACGCTCCTTCGGGCTAAGGGTGTGCAGTTTGCGCTAATTGATGAACCTCTGGTAGTGGAGTTGCTTGTGCTTCGTGAGGCTATCCTCTGGTGTCTGGAGTACGGCTTGTCTGGTGTTAGGTTTGAGGGGGATGCGAAGGTCATTATTGACAAAATTAATCAGGCTGATACGCGCGATAGTCATCTGGGGGCTATACTAGAGGAGATTTGCCAGTATTTTCGGGCCCATCCTGGGTTTAGTGTGCGGTTTGTAGGTCGGGAGAACAATAGGGTAGCTCATTCGGTAGCTAGAAAGGCCCTCTCTTTGTACCCGTCTGTAAATCGTTCTTTTGATTTCAGGACCTGTCTGTTATCCAGGATGTAACTATCTCTTTGTTTCGATCAATATATCTTATCTTTTGACAAAAAAAAAATATTTATTGTCCTCATTGGTTGCTGGGACCCACAGATTTATTGCTCCTAATTGGGGTTAATTGCATGGTTGGTCACTGCGATTATAAAAAGCGTTCATGTTTGGTAACTCGAAATATTTAAATCCATTTGTGGTCCCTAACTTTACAAAAATCGTTCATTTATGGTCACTCTCCGTGCTGTCGTCCAACGCTGTTAACGGCGTCCGTTAAGTGATGACATGGCTGACGGATTCGCCTAATCAGCATTTTTTAACCCGAAAATTGACTGACCCGACCCGCCACGTCATTTAAACCCGCCATGTCAGCTAAACCTAACCAAAACTCTAACCAAAACAGACCAGACCCGACCAACCCACTAACCCATCTATCTTATTTATGTCGTTTTCTGGCCACAAGAATCCTATCATCTTCCAAAAACCTTCACATCTCTGTTTTCTTCTCATCCCCTTCTCCTATGCTAATGGCGACACCTTTCTGTCGTTGTGGATTGGCATCAAATCTCAAGACGAGCTGGACAGAGGCGAATCCAGAGAGGAGGTTCTACAGGTGCAGCAAGTCCCCGTTTGAATCCAATCCCCTCCTCTGTTTCAACTCCATCCCCTGTTTCCCCCCTTTCCATTAGCTTCTTCCATCACCAGCCATGGAAGCTCTCCAAGGTCACAACAATTACAATCACACATTCCCCACCGATTTAACCAAAATCGGGAACTCCCTCTCCCAGCTCATACTAATGGGTGGCGCGGGCTCCAAAACTCTCGATTCCGTCTTCTCCTTCTGCAGCCACAACACATCACCGCCGGTGGCGGCCAAAATAGAGCCTCTCGGTTCCTCCAGCTACCTCCACCAGCGAGACCTCCTCCGAAAATTCAGCGAGCAGAACAGACCCACCACCGATTCATCCTTCGGCTCAACTAATTATTCGCTCCAGAGATTCTCTCCATTACAGAGGAGCTGCCCGGCGTTTGCTCCGGCGACGGCGAAGAAGCTGTATAGAGGAATGAGGCAGAGGCAATGGGGGAAATGGGTAGGAGAGATTCGGCTCCCGCAGAACAGGATGCGAGTCTGGCTCGGCACCTACGAGACCCATGAAGCCGCCGCCTATGCTTACGATCGTGCCGCCTACAAGCTCAGAGTTGGAGAGGAAGTCAGCGCGGGATGGAGGCAGATTGATTTGTCTTCAATTAGGGTTTTAGTCAAATGTGGGTAGATTAGTTGGTGGGTCGAGTCAGGTCTGTTTTAGTTAGCGGGTCTGGTTTGGTTAGAGGTTTGGTTAGGTTTAGTTGACATGGCGGGTTTAAATGACGTGGCGGGTCAGGTCAGTCAGTTTTTGGGTTAAAAAGTGATGATTAGGCGAATCCGTCAGCCACGTCATCACTTAACGGACGCTGTTAACGGCGTTGGACGGCAGCTAACAGAGAGTGACCATAAATGAACGGTTTTTGTAAAGTTAGGGACCACAAATGAATTTAAATATTTCGAGTGACCAAACATAAACGCTTTTTGTAATCTTAGTGACAAACCATGCAATTAACCCCCTAATTGCATCAAGCAAACAATAAATTTTAGAAAAAATCAACGATCGATCCACCAAGCAATCTGCAAACAAGCCCGTATATTTCATGGTGAAAAGAAGCTAATGCTCACTGTTTCACATTGGTTTATACCAAAACTCAAATCCTACTTTTATGACAAATCCTAGAGAACCCAAACGATCGCACGCAAGCAGTTTTTACTCGCTGGGAGAGACTTCGAGAACCCAATCCCCCTCCCTTCTCCCGATCTTCGAAGCGTTCTTTTCTTGGGCTTCTCACGGCAAGTTCATCCCCCTGCTTAGAAGCTCGAGCGCTCCAGTCTTCCTCTCCTCCCGCTATAAATTGAATTGATGCGTTCTCTGCTCGGGACAGACGCGAGTACAGAAAGCAACAACTGTTCTTGAAAGGGCTTAATAAGATAACAAACATGGCGTCTCTGCACACCAAATACAGTAAGTACAACCTTCTCCTGTGCGTTTTAACATACCGCTTCCTTACTTTATCTCCGCCTGTTCTGACTTTCCTTCTTTTCCCTGCGGGTGCAGAGCCCACAAGTAAGACGCCGAATTTCAAACTAAAGTTTAGGGAGGCAGACAAAAAGCTCAGTGTGGCGGAGGACCGCTACTCAAACATGTCGGCGTACTATCGAGATTCGCTGGATCGCCTCCAGAGCAATTATAATGATCTCTATCGAGAGCGGGACCAGCTGATTGCCGCTCTGCGGCAGGAAAGGTTCGGCAGGGAGCAGGACAAAGCTGCCTTCGAGCGGGAGAGAGCAGAGCGGGTGAGATTGGGGAAGGCCTTGGATGAGTTCTATCGCCTTGCGAAGGACTTCATCGGCAGGGTTTGGAGTTGGAGACCTATTCTTGGAGAAGTTTGGAAGTGAACAATGGAATTGCTGCTGCTAGCTAGTAATCAAACCTTGTGATCTCGTTCTACTGATTCTCCATTCCTCTGTTCAATAAAAGAAAAGTGTCCTGCTATTTGCCGCCTTGAAATTATTATTATTATTATTATTATTAGTTGCATGACAAATTTGGACGAGAGTTCACGAGAATGACTATTTTTTTTTTTGCCATAAATAGTTTGGAATAGATAGGTCATTACAATGGAGGGAAAAATAAAAAGCGATAGTCAATAAAAAGAGTTGCTACCGATGCAAAGGCCGTTTGTGCCACACGATGGGCAACCCTGTTAGTACTACTAAGAATGACTAATTTATTAGTTAGTGAAAAATGTAGATAATCAATTTGTTAACATTGAAATTAAGTGACCCTTTTTGCTATATGTTACCGGCAGAGTCTAAAGAAGGAGGAAGGGAGAAGAACGAAAGTGAATGTTGAGGGGCAAGGTTTGGAAATTATGAAATAAGAACGAGCGATGGTGAAATAGCTGATAGCCATCAGCTATTTCTAAAACCCACAAATGAGGGTTATTAAAATCACTAATCACACAATTCTTCATTATTCCTAAACGCCGGATTGTTTTAAAATCCTGCATAATGAGAGATTATTTTAAAATCCCTCACAAATCTCTCAATACAATCCTACATCCAAACGACCCCCATTCCCCACTCTTTCACAACTTAGAAGCCCCATCCAACTCAAATTTGACTTTCCAATTTAAGTCACTCTCATCTCTTACCTAATCTTTTGTTATTTTCATAACACCAAAAGGAAAATACTAGTATTAGTCGTCTCTCAGCCTCCAATTCGTCAAATTAAAGATTACAAATGATAAGAATTTGAGGTGTGATCTCTCCTCCATTCTCATTATTCATTCATATCCTACCTCTAGGCAAATTCAAGACTCTTTGCTTAGTCTCTTTGCTCTAAATTAAACAATCAAATCTAATTTATATATTTAATTATTAATTGCAAAGATAATTAATTTCGTATTCGATAATACCGATTGGGATACCGAAGTACCGATTGGGATACTGAAATATTTAGGGAATGGGATTGGGATACCGAAATTATTTAGGGATTGGGATTGGGATTGACTTTAGGGTGTAAGGGTTAATGGGTCCCCCGTTTTAGCTTGGAAATATGGAAAGAGTCATTATATTGTACTTATTCTGATAAATTATATCAAATCTCATCTAACATATGAATTATAACATATAATATTCCACCAAAATAACATATAGTACATAGATGCAACATATAGTGAAAATTCACACACACTTATATAACATATATATTCAAATGTTCAACGTAAGATTCTAAAGATTGAGTTAGGCGAAAAGAAAAATTGGAAAATAGGCGCATTTCGAAAACTAAAGAAAAAAATGACACAATTTGACCTCAAACCCGGTATCATGTAGCGGTCGACCCGACGAGTGCGTGCGGCCCGTTTTTCTCATCGAACCAGGTCAAAGTGGGTCGACCCGATGACCCGCGGGTTGCTTGGTCTGAAGTCTGAACTCTAAAGCCTTGTTATAAGAACCGAACTGGATCAACGGTCGGGCCAGTAGAACCGTCAATCCAGTTACGATAGCGGTCCGGTTCATTGTTTGAACGGTTATTGATGGAACAACGGTTTTTCACGGTTCAACATAAAATCAGATGAACCGACACGGTTTAGCTGGTCCATTGATTCACTATTTTAACAAAAAAAAAATATTTTAACATAAACTAAGACCATCAAATCATAATTATTAATTTTATATATGCTTCCTCAACCTTATTGTCGATTTTACATTGGCTACTACCAACTAGAACCGTAATTTTTAACTTGAATTAAAAATTGTGGTTTCTTTTGTGAGATGGTTGGAATGATTTATTAGATATTTTCGCGATGATATGAATTTGAACTTGTTTATGGTCAATGATAATTTCATTCTTAAATTAGTGTAATATACAAGTCTTATATGTTATATATCATTAACGGTTCTATCAACGGTTCACCAACGATTTTGTAACAGTTAACGAGTGAACCCTTAAATCACTAACTGTTCCGATTCAGCCTTCGGTCCGGTTCTGAAAACAGAGCTCTAAAGTGAACAAAACTCCGACGAGCTTGATGCCTTTATACGGGATTTGTGTTTAGGGCTCCGAGGTTAAACCAAATGCCTATCTTATTGTTTGTGTGGGCTTGTCTGACGCCAAAAATATGGGCCTTTATCTCTGGGCTTTTCACAAACTTGTGTTGCACGGTATCACAACTGAGGCGCGAACTTCCACTGTTTTCTCCTACAAATTACCGCGCTTTCCTCCCGTCGAGCTACCCGGCCAGCAAACAAACAAGACAGTCTTGCAAGGTTGAAAACGAAGACAGAGGCAGAAGATGGCAATACCCTCCGAAAATCAACGAAATATTGTAAGTTCCCCAACGGACTCCGTCTCCCTTATTCCTTTTCTCAGAAGTAAATACGTTCCCCATCCGACTCCGTCTCCCTTATTCCTTTTTCCGGAAGGGAATCCAGTTTTGACCTAGATGATCTCCAAGTTTACCGACCCAGTTGACATTTTTGGTTCATTTTGGTATTGTTGCAGAAGAGGCTGAACACCGGACAGGAAAGCAATGCTGACAGGGAGGAACTGCAGTACGTGATTATTAAGGTTGATCGCCAATTTCTTCGTACTAGCTCTCGGGCATTCTAGTACACCATATGCCTTGTTTTCTGACTTAAGTTTGGGTTTGACAATTAGGTTGCAAGAGATGAAGATATCAGAAATGCAGGTTGGCAAGAGCAGAACATGTGTGTGGAGAAACATGTGCCCTTCAATGTCTTCAAGGTAATCTTGTGAGGGAGGGAAGCCAGAGTAGGAATGTTAATTGTCCTGGGTTAAATAGTTTTCTTCAACTGCGTGTGTGTGTGTGTGTGTGTGTGTTTGGCAGGAGAAGGTTGCTGCAGAACTTGGAATTCCTGTTCAGTTTCAGCGTTTCTGGCGATGGGCATTTCGTCATAACGGTACTTACCGTCCATACCAGCCATTGACATGGCCTTGAGGAGAATGATGAAACAGTAAGATAGACTCCCCACTTGCCCAACTGCTCTTCCCTGAGTATTGCCTGTTTTTCTTTCCCTTTCGTTTCTGCAGCAGTAGAACTTCTCTAACCTGTGTCCACATGATCAAAGATTGTCTATTAACGGTTTTTCGATTTGTGTAGGTGGGAGAGATACTGGGAGAGGGCAATGGTGCAAGACTGAACTTGTTTTTGGAAGTAGGAAGTCATCGTTTCTCGGTAAAACCTGCCTTTTTTGTCCATGGGTGGTTGAATGTAAAATCCCAGCTTACACATCCATGATTTCTAATACTAGTATCTTGTTCTTGTTGTTTCTGCAGAATCGATCATTTGTTCCACACACGATGACTGGAGAGATACTCCTCTTCATCAAGCTTTACAAGCCTTGAGAGCGATGAGCTCAGGTATTTATAACCACACTGGCTAAGAGAGGTAGTTACTGGTTTGTGTTTAACTGAGCTGTCATTATGGATTCATGGACTCTTTCTACTCTGCAGTTATGTTGGGAGTGTAATGGTGAAGTCAAGTAGTAAGCCTGCAGATGTTGTGGCCAGATTAAATGAGATGGCTGGCTATCCATTGGATGAAAATATCGATCTGTACGAAGTAAGTTACTTCCTGCAACGATGGAACATAAACCTGCGTCCTAGGCTCCTAGCCAAATACCATGGTGATGGTCGGGGTTAACTGACTCCTGGGATTTTTTTCTCAGGAAGTTATGTATGAACCAAATTTGATGATTGAACTCATTGACAAGGAACTGTCTTTCAGTTCTGGCCAGGTACCCTTACCAAATAACATATTATATCTTCGTTCTAGCATATGATATGAATGGATATATGATGATATGTCATTGTTTATTTCGACAGTTCGTTGATGGAGATATTATCTGCTTCCAAAAATCCTCGTCTCTGGAAACTTTCTTACAGTGTCGACATCCCACTGTTCCTTCTTTCTGCACATGCATACGAAATCATGGACGAGAATTTAAACGTACCTTCGAGGACGAGGTGAATTTCTCTGCCATTCTCGTTCCCCACATCAATTCTTCTTTGTTGTTCAACAAGTAGATACTATTCTTTAGTGTGCCTAACCAGTGTTTGACTTGGAAAAGGTCTTGGCTGCAAAACTCGTCGAGCTGAAGACGGAGCTTGATGGGTCTCGCTCCGAGGCCATAGACTTGCGGAATCAGAATCAGAAGCTGGAAGAGGTACAACAATCTTATACACATGGCCCTTTTGCCCATCATCATTTCCTGCAACTTACTGTCAACTGAAACTCCTTTCGCATACTGTGACTTGAAATTCTTCGATCTTGCAGGAACTAAAGGAGCTTAGAGCAAAGGTTAATACGTAGATACTTGGGGATTTTAGGGTAGGTGGTTTGATCGGTTTGCTTAAGGTGTTTTGAGCCAGTTGATTTGTTTGGCAGTAAAGGGCTAGTAATGGCCTGATGGCTTATTCTCATATCACTCGATTGTGTCTAGCATACATTGCACAAGAACTGAAATTACTACACTTGATCGTGGCTTCAATGATCTAAATTTAAGCGTCGTGAATATTAGAGAGATAGCCTGATGGGCTACTCTTGTATATGCCTCCAGAAATCCTCGCCAAATTGTTATAGAAGGACGAAAGATACAAACCCACTGGAGATATGGATTCCGAAATTGAGGGCAAGACAGAGAAGAAAATATGCTTCTAATCTCTTCACTACTGAACATGGCCTTTTTCAATTTGACCAAATCCAGACAGACAGTAAATTGAGCTCCACCTAGTGCCCTCAAAGGAGCCTGGGTCTAAGTCGAAAAAGTTCGACCAGACAGCTTCCACAGTACGAACCAATCCCCCAGCCACTTCGGACTAGCAACTAGCAAGAGGTTCCACCCAGTTCGACAAGCCAGCTTCCACGGTACAAACAAATGCTTAACAAAGCTGCTGAGAGCGAGCCAAAAAAAATTTATCAATACACCAGCGACTATGGACTAGCAACTAGCAAAAAGTTCCACCTGTAGTGTAAGGTTGGATATTGAAAATGCTCTTAACACTGTCCATATAAACTTAACTGAGTTGGAACATAATCTAAAGTCTAAACGCACAAATAAAGGGAAAGGCCTTTCTTTTGGTACCAATGCACCAAGAGACATAAACGCACATCCAGCAGATCACAAAGATAAAGGAAGCAATCATCAACCAAAATATCAAAGCGACATCACCCTGCTAAATTACTCCAAGTAGTAACCAATCAACTGTAACAGCAAACATGGACAAGTGCCAGCATTCACTAACAACCAAAAAAGGACCCCTTCAGCAAAGAAGACAAGTACCAAAATTCTCCATGCACTTTCCAGCAACACAAGCTAAAGCTAAAGATAACAGACATTTGGCATAGACAAAGCTTCTCTTAACGGTTGGCTTTTGCAACTCTTTCAATCTCGTCCTTCTTCTTGATAGCATAGCTGGAAAGCAAACAGAGGGGCACAATCAGAAAAATAGAGCAACCAAGAACATTTCAAACCAATCAACACAAATCAATCCAGAAGCAAACAAACCTGTTAGAGGATCCCTTAGCAGCATTGATGAGTTCATCAGCCAAGCATTCGGCAATAGTCTTGATGTTACGGAAAGCAGACTCCCTTGCACCGGTGGTCAGGAGGTACAAGGCCTGGTTGACCCGCCTGAGTGGAGAAATATCGACGGCCTGACGCCTCACAACACCAGCTGAACCGATTCTGGTTGCATCTTCACGAGGACCACTGCAAATACAAATACTATGAAGAAACAAACTCATCCACAAACCAATTGACTTCACTCTCAATCATAAGCTCGTGCTGACCTGTTGACGACAGCATCAACGATGATCTGGATTGGGTTTGCATCAGTTAGGAGGTGGATGATCTCCATGGCATGCTTCACAATCCTCACAGCCATCAGCTTCTTACCATTGTTTCTCCCGTGCATCATAAGAGAGTTGGTAAGCCTCTCAATGATCGGGCACTGGGCCTTCCTGAAACGCTTGGCCGAGTACCTCCCAGCTGTGTGAGGGACAAAAGTTGCATGCTTTGCCGCTTGGACGCCGATGTAGTCCGACAAGGAAATGTCGTTGATCTACAACCATCCAAATCACAAAACAAATATACAAACCCTAATAAGCCTGCGAGCAGAATCAAGACTCTCCAAGCATAATCAAGAGCTCAGTCGCATTAATATAACTAAGCAGCGAAAATCGTACACATGAGCATCGACGGTTTGATTCTAAGACTCGAGGAAAGACGATAACGAAGCTAAAAATGAATCGAATGAGGAGAACGAACATGAATATCATCGAACACCCAGCGATTGAACAACTTGACGTCCATGGGACCAGTAACTGACGCCGGAGCTGGAGCAGGAACTGGAACTTGGGCCTCTACTTCCATGGTTGCACTTGCAGGAGAAGAGAGGAAGCGGCGCAGTGATGAAAGTATGCGCTTAGGAAACTTCCGAACTGGAACAGCTAATGCGCAGAAGAGGATGGAAGGTCGTAAGTCGTAACCCTAATTCCAGATTTATACGGCCACGAAGCAGATAATGGGCGGCCGAGCAAGCGATAGATTTCTAGGGTAAAACGGTGGGGCAAAACGGCAAAACGGCGGGTTTTGGAGCACGGAGGAAAAGGGAGGAAATAAAAAAAATTGCAACCTTGGTGAATCGAATCCGGTATCTCATTAATTAGTAATGACTTTTTTCCGCTGGGAAACAGGGAATAACCCGTCCCCTTAAATCCACAAAACGAGTATTTAGGGGACGTTTGGATAACATGAGTTTAAATCTACAGATTGTCAACAATCTAAAGATTTTAACTCTCCGGATTGTTGAAAACAGATTTTAAAATGTTTATTGTTTGGTAATTGTGATTGTTAACATTCAATTAAAATAAAAAATTTTAATTTTATATTAAATAAATTTGTATCATTAATAAAAAAATTAGAGTGGTTCAAGAAATATTAAAAACTTTGTTGATAGATATATTTCATGTTATAAATAAATAAAAGTAAGAGAAAAACTAGGAGGAAAAAAATCTCACGAATCAAGATATAGAATCTCTCTGATTATGAGAGATTTGATATCCGCAGATTTTAGATATTTGAAATCTTTAAAGCTAGAATCCACAATACAGAAAACAACAAAAAAACATAACTTTTATAAAATCTACGGATTCAGTGAATCCATATCCTGAATCCTCTTCTCCAAACGACCCCTTATTGTTTTCCCATTGCTTTCTCATTTGTAACAATTGATTTTTTTTCAACGAAAACAAAATGGACAAGTGAACAAGTTTTTTGTCATTTATTTCTTGATTTTCATTTTTTAAACAGAAAACAGAAAATGAAATGGGAAGTGAACAGGGCATAAGGTTAGGTGAAACGAGTATCTCAATACTCATATTTAAGATGAAAACGTGAATGACCCGTAAAAAAAAAAAAAAAAATTGTAGACGCCAATGTGAATTGATTCAATTCACTCAAATTTCGTTTATAATTTGATTGTTGATCACTCAGAAATACAATAAGTTGACATCGAATCTGAATTCCTATAAATTACAAAATGGAAAGTAACCATTGTACTCTAGTTCAGAAGCGACTTTGGCTGGACAGCAGAGGCTTCACTACCATCCTCCTCCCTTCTGGCTCTTGTAGGTATTTCTCATCTTGAATGTACGATTCGATCTCCATGATTACGGGCTTCAGGTCAGGATCGTCGCGAGCTTTCAGCGCCTCGAGGAAGTGACTCGAAACAATGTGCAGCAACTTCGCGAACTGCGACTTGTACTTTCGATACAGAACGAACCCAGCAGTTTGCAGGAATGCATCGAGTGCCACAGCGGTGAATGCATTTGCTGGGAGAGCGGATTTGAAAGACATGTTTGGAGTTAAGGATGATCAAATATCATGTATTTTTTGTAGTAGTATTACTCTTGTGATTGTGTTTTTATGATTTGTGCAATTCGTATTTCATTTCATTACCATGGGAAGATTTGAGAACATGTTAATGTACATGTGTTAGATAAACTATTGCCATGTATGTGTGAAGATTTGTGTTCTTTTAAAAAATACGAAGTATGTTTGATATTGTTTCTGAGAGCGCTTATAACCCGAAATGACCCCCAACTCGACCCAAAACCAAATGGGTTGGGTCAATATTTAACCCGAAATAAGCTAACCCAACATGACCCGACCCGTAACCTAAAACTTCAACCCGAAATTACCCAATTCGACCCGATTGCCAGGTCTACTCGATTGCTATCATTGTATTAAAGGAGTAATTGAGAGTTTGAAGTTTGTTTGAGAAAGGGGTTATAAGAACGTCGAGCTCAAGATTGATTCAACCACAACTGTCGCCATCATGAAAACATGCATTGATGATAGCCATTGGCATAACCTACGTGCACAACAAATCATGCATCTTTTTTATCGAGATTGGAGAGGTTAAATCTCCCGTGCACACAAAGAATATAATTCTGCAGCCGATTCCTTAGCAAATTGAGGCCACAGTGTGAGCGATCGTGGTCTTACTAGACTGATCTTTTATCATGGAATAGATATTGGCTAAACACGTTTAGTCAACAATAATAATTGGGACACAATAGAGTTCTTCTTTCTTTAAAAAAAAAAAAAGTTAAAACGGAAATCACCCAGGCCTAAATCACCTAAACTAGGGTCATGACAATAGCCCAACCTACACAGCCCATAACAATCCGAACGGCCCAAAGCAAACTAGCAATTTCTTTCTCTTTCTATAGTCGATTCCTCCCATTACTCGCTTTGCTGCTGCGCGGGAGCTTTAGAAACTGAAACGCCATTTCCATTCCCCATGTTTATTTCTTCTTTTTTGCAGTCTTCCTAGGGCTTCGAAGATGAACCCTTTCGTCTCCTTTCATTTATTCCGATCCCCCCCCCCACCTCTCTTCTTTATCTTCCAAATAAATTAGCGTGGTTGGGTTCTCTAGTCTTTCTTTCCCTAGTTAATTAGCATAAACAGAGTCGAGCTTGCAAGCTTGGTAACAAAGATCACAGTATATGGCGACTCCAGTAATTGTAAGTCTCCTGTTTACCAAAATGACCATGCTTCAGTAATTTAGCTATGCATTTCACAACGTTGCTTTCTGAAAAAAAAAAAAAAAAAAACAGTTGCAGAAAGTGGGAAACTACAACGGGGAACGGAACACTGATGCAGAACAATCACATACCACAATGACGATTCGGGTAAAGTACTTGGTATAGTATGATTCGTTTATTCAGAATATGAACTTCTTCTAGCATTCACTCTCTGTCGAGCTAGCAAATGATCGTATCTTGTATACATTATGATCTGCTGTTTGTAATTAAGCTGTCAAGAGATGAAGATACAAGAACCCAGATCGGAAAGACAATGTACTTTGATCTTGTGGATCATGACAAAGTCAGGAGCTTCCGCGTTCCCAAACAGTTGAGCG